AGATTCTCCGTAAGCCATTTGATTGCACATTCTTTGGCAAAGGCCGAGGTTGATGGATTTAACTTGCTGTTGTGTTCTTTGGTAACTGCCCTTGAGGGCATCAGAAACTCATGCACTAAATTTTTTAACTCCTGGGATAGCAGTTACCCACTACCACTTTTATGATAGTATTATTATCTCCCTTGCTACCTGTTGTTGATTTCGGAAGAGACATGAAGCATTCTGCACAAGTGATAGTAATTATTGAATTTATGAACCATCTAAAGATTGAGATTGGTAACAAGGACAAAGATCGACACTACTGGATACAGTAATCACTTCCATCGTGCTCTTGTTATTACTACCTGCTGGTCTGGTGGATGTAGGAGCTTTGCTTTTGAACGAAAGGACAGTGGATGATGCAAACGCATGCCTATTTGGCATTATAGCATGGGTGCTGTCTGACGGGAAGGCTTCCTAGGTGTAAGTATCACATTCTTGAAGGTTTAGTTGTCTTTGCTAGCAAAACTTTGCATGATTGCATCAAAGCCACTAATCTTAAAGTTTAATTCTTAGATGTCAAAATTGAATGTTTACTCTTATCTCTGCAATTATATTAATATTTGCATCTGTATGTGATATTTTGCAAGGACATCTTCATGATAAAGAGGAAGGGTGTAAAGCATCGTACATCTTCACTCTTCACATCATATGATGTTTGCCATTGCTTTATAGATAGCACCAGACTTAGGGAGACTGGATAACAGTTAATCTAATCAACCTTGTCCCATGTAAACCAGGCGTCCTAACATTTGTAAGCAATTGAGTTCTTAGGAGGAAGCAAAGCTGGGTAGTTCTATCTTCTTTGTGAATTATCATGAATGGACTCATTCATTCAAATGGGTAGTTTACATTCTAGTTGATTTATAACTGAATTAGGAATCTCCAATAGTGTGACGCCAGCTGTCTCAAAGTTTTGCTGCATCCGACTTTGGGTGAGGTAAAGGGGAGAGAACTCCAAAGACAAACCGAGTTATCTTTCATGCAAACAACCGCTTTGGCATGAGAACTAACACAACATGGAGTGTTTGAGCCATTATTTAACAATTTATAGAGAGCATTTTTCTCTAACAGTGAACTGTTGTGTTTAGCATTCATCCAAGAATATGTGGAGCGGTGTTAGGAATAACTAATGCAAGTGCCCTTAGGCACCAGAAAGTTCTACACGGCATTAGTAAGCGACCAGATGTGGTACATTATGATTACAAATTGATTTTTTTCTCTCTCTCCACACAAGGCAACATACACACGCATGCATGCACATACGCACACGCACATAATGTTATATGATAGTGTAGAATGCCCTAGCTCCACGCCAATCATTAACAGGTTGGCCTTAATAAACAGTCTGCTGCCCTTATCAACACTATTAGTTTATTTTCCTCTTGGGGGAAGTTCTTTAGTGTTCCCCAGATATGCATTTTGTATTTTGCACCCTATGCCCTAGTTTGTAGCTCTAATCACTGCTCTAGAGTATAATAAGACCATTAGGTACGCCATAATGCATAATTAGGATTTAGAATAATCGGTAATTTTTACCACTTTGTATGAATCATAGCCCACAAGGAAGGTTTCACCTAACATCGACCTTTACCAAAAATATACTCACTTGCATCTCGCGTGCAGCTGGCTTTGCCATGGACTCATTGGACTGTGCTTTGTTTATGGTTTACAGAAAGGTGTAACATACGCTTTCCTAAGCACAATTAGAGATCTTGTACCCTAGCACATGGGAACAAATGCTGAATTAACACAGAGGTGTACTCACATTGTGGAGATACTATGGGCCAACTTGCCCTGTAATCGAATCATCCATGTTCAACTTAAATCATTCTTCCTTGGTAATGATCCCATTAAGACTGCTTTTGTGCTCTTTGCTTCTCGATACATCTTGGTAGTAAGTGTTTGCACAAACTTTTGTAGCATGTAGTACAAACTATGATAGGTATGGTGGATTGTTTGGCCGTTTTCTTTTTTCTTTTACTTTGAGGAAGCTTAGCATGTTCGAATCAAATCCCTTTATAGCAAGTGTTTGCACAAACTTTTGTAGCATGTAGTACAAACTATGATAGGCATGGTGGATTGTTTGGTGTTTTTTTTTACTTTGAGGAAGCTTAGCATGTTCAAATCAAAACTCTTTATATTTGTTCTGGATCATAGATAATTTCTCTTGATCAAAAACCTAAATCCTTTGCTGTGTGCTGTTCTGATGATGTTCAAATTTTAAAAGGCGAAGTTGTGATTATTTTTTCCTGGGAAGAAAAAAAGACATCCGTTCAGAACTTGCTAAGCAGGACAGTCAATACAGGGAGCAGATTCTGAGAGATGAACGAATCCGATGTCGAAACTCTTACCCCATTCTAGCAGGGGTGTGTATTTTAGCTTTAGACTTACCCGCTAAAGAGACGATTGCCAGCTAATCTCACGCAGACATTATTCCATTTGTTTACTTACAGCTCTTTGGCTGCTATTTGTTGGAGCTTCTTTTGTTTGCAGGAATCAATCCTCTGCTCTCACTCACACCGGACGGATGGATGGATTGTCCTGCTGCCAACATGTAGGGCCTAAACTCATGTATGTAGTCACTCTCATCACATCAGTACTGTTTATTTGCTCTAAATTATTTCTCTTGACAAGCTCTTGTCTTCAGCTCATCCTCTGTTCCTGCTGACAGCAAGCGCCTCCGCGTCACCCGTCGATACGCTGCTCTCGCGTGCTATCCGTCCGTGATGCGATGCAGGCGCATTCGCATTGGCGCGAGAGAGCACGGATGGATGGTACTGGAACACATGAATTTGTGCGGCAATGATTGGAGAAGGGAGACATAGATCTGCGGCAACCTTTCTGGCGAGCATAATGATGCAGAAGAAGATAATCTGGTGGGCGGTCGGGTCCAGTTCCATTCCTCAATGACTCTGGTGCACGACGGGGGTGGCATGGCATGGCACGGGTAAATGCCTTGTGCCGAGCCCGGCCAGCGCTGCCGTGCACAGGACTGGCAAAGCGCGTGCGGACGGACACCGGGTCGTGGACGGCGAAGGCCATGTGTAGGGGCTACCCTAACAAAACCAGCCCCGTCTACGATACGGTCTTCTTCTCCTCCTCGTTCTCAAAGATAAGATGAGGAGGGAAAAAGAAAAGCGGAGGCAGAGGTAAGCTGGGGAGGGGACTGGTCTAGGAATCTATCTATCTATCGAGGCTTGTTATCTACTGTACGTAGCAGCAGCAGCTCGTGGTCCATGCCCTGGGGCTGGAGCTCGGCAGTTTGAAGTCGTATCCTTTCCAGTCTTTGGCCCGGCATTTCTCTCTCAAGATTCGCTACGTATACGTACGTACGCCCCTCCCTTTGCCTTTTTATTTTCTTCTCTTCTCCTTCCCGCTTTGGGGCGAACAGTTTACTAATGGCTCCACTAATGTTAGGCAGATGAGGAGGGAAAAGGCATGGATGGAGGGAGGGACGCTGCTGTGTTGAGTAGAAAGATAAAGAGGAATGGAGGAGGTAAGCTTAGCTGCAGTGCAGGGGAATAACTTGCAGTTCACTTCTTGCAGTGTTAATCAGCACAGATGGTTGCTGCTTCCTTCCTTGCCGATGCTTTTCTTAAGCCCTGATTTGAAAGCTTAAGGGGGAGGGAAGGGGGAGGGGGGCAAAAGCGTGTTTGGAGTGAATAAAAGTATTGCATGGGTGGTAGGCTTTAACTAATCTAAAGCTAGATTCGAGCCTTCGCTAACCCCGAGGCTAACGAATTGTTTTTATCCTACTGCAGCCACAGAAAGATTGAGATTAGGAGAATCTCAACTCTGCGAGAAAAAGCATCTCCAGCAGCTGGGGCAGACCGCAACTCCTCCTCTAATCAATCAAACAAAGGTTTCATTTTCAGCTCTGAATTTCGCAAGAAAAAGAAAACGGTACAATTCCTACTACTCCTAGTACGAGTTTCCTATACGCTCGAAAGTCCAAACAAATCTCACCTAAACCCTATCAATGATGGGATGAAATGAAATGGAGCGAAAGCGGCGATGCTTTGCCGTGGGGGGCAAAATGGCGAGGCCTCGATCGCAGCCCCTCCTAATGTTGACCACCAATTTCCCTTGAGCAAAAAACTAATGATGGCGATCATGGAGGGCGTGTAAATAATTGCCCGTGTCGACCGATTAAAGAAGTGCAAACAGTCAAATAATGATGAGCGGGGTGGGTGCACAAGTTTTACAGCCAGGCAGGCACCTTGAGAAAGCGAGCATAAACTAATGCCTGCGAGGGTTGGCAATGTCAGGGATGCCTCTTTACGCCTGCTCCTCTGCTCTGCTATGAGCGGTGCGGTGCGATGCCAAGCAAGTAAGTAACCAGGGAGTTGTTACTAAAGGAAAGCAAAGGTAAACACCATGATTAAAGGGCTGTTAACAAAGGAAAGGTAAAGCGGGGACGATTAAGGTGCCCTAACACATTTTAAAGCTTATTAAACAAAACAAAAACTGGCCATGGATGGCGGTGGTGCCCAGTTTGTGACTAGGAGGAGGAGCAGAGGACTAAAGCTGTTTGTTGCCTCTCTCTTCTTTCTCTCTCTGGTTAACCATGCATAAAAACTAGTAGGGCCTCTGGTGGTGGTGGTGGTCAAGAAGAACTAGTAGTAGTACTAGCAGTGTAGTCCTACAAATGCCACAAGCCTTTGCCTCCACACTCCCTCTAGCTATGTAAGCATGGTCTATGCGTCTCCCTCTTTTCCTAGCTCATCTTCTTCCCTACGCCTCTCGCCGGCACACCTAGCGCCACAATCTGCAGCGGCCGCCCCTCCTTTTCTTGCCGTTTCTGTCCATAGTCTCGCTGCCTTAAGAGCTTTTGCCCATCGCATTGCCCATACGGCCCTGCCCGACCAGAGCACTTCGTCTTCTCTCCCGGCTGCCTCTCAGGTTCTTTCGGCCAGCGGAGGAATCCATTTGCTCAGCTTGTTGTTGGAGCAGGAGCCATGGACATGAACGAGAGCAGCGAGAAAGGGATGGAGGGCAATGGGTCCTCTGGCCCAGGCGGTGGCATCCCCGTGGAGTGGCAGAGCCAATTCAGCGGCGGCGGCTTCTCGGCGCACCAGCACCAGCAGCATCCCCACATGATGGACTCCTTCGGGTCCGGCATGTGGTCGGCGGCCTCGCAGCACGGCGCGGGGTTCCTGGCGCCGGTGCCCGGGTTCCTCCCGCCGCCTGGCCTAGGTGGCCATTTCCCGGTGGACTCGGGCTTCATCGAGCGCGCCGCGCGATCGTCGTGCTTCGTCGGCCCCGGCGCCGGTGGCGGGATGATGGGCGCTGGCGCCTTCGGTGGGGCGGGCGATCAGCAGATGGGCAGCGCTTTCGGGGAGGGGTACTTGGATCATCGTAGGAAGGAAGGCGGGGACAAGGCCGAGCCGGAGCTCGCAGGGAGCGGCGGCGTGCCGAGCTCGGAGGCAGCCGGCGGAGACTGCTCGTCCAAAGGGTCGGACTCCAAGAAGAGGAGAAGGCCCAGCGAGGTATATACTGCCTGCTGTTCATCGTGTTTCCAGCTTCAGTTCAGTACTTTTGTCAGGTGTTCAAGAACGAGCTTGTGCTTCATTCAGGTGATGGGAGGCGATCAGGTTCAGTCTTCCAACGTGGCCGCTGACTCCGCAAACGAGAGCGCCCAGAGCAAAGATAAAGGCGAGGAGAGCAGCCCGGCGACGGGGACGACGACCGGCGGCAAGTCCAAGGGGAAGGGTGCCAAGGAGAGCTCCGAGAAGGAAGACTACATCCATGTCCGAGCCCGGCGCGGGCAGGCTACCAACAGCCACAGCCTTGCCGAAAGGGTACACAGTTTTTGCTCACCGCTTCCTCGTTTGATTAGCATGGATGCAGTATGTATGCATTTGAGCACACGAGTGGTGTTGAAACCATGGATGTTTTTATCCTTTGCGCAGCTAAGAAGGGAGAAGATCAGTGAGAGGATGAAGCTTCTACAGGACCTTGTTCCCGGCTGCAGCAAGGTACTCCCTTTTTCCACCGAAAGAAGTTGGTGTTTCCGATCAGTGCTGGTATTTCGTAGCAAATGTAAAGGATGTTCTGTGTCTTGGACTGAATTCAGGTCACCGGGAAGGCGGTGATGCTCGACGAGATCATCAACTACGTTCAGTCCCTGCAAAGACAAGTTGAGGTAACGACCAACAATTCGTCTGAGAATCTATCTAGGCAACGTGAACATACTAGTAGGATTTTAGCTTTGAACACACTCGTGTCAGGTGAGTACAATCACCGGATACAGATAACTGAATACTTTGCTCTAGTAACTAGGATGTCAGTGATCACTGGATACAGATAACTGATCGGTAGTGTGTTCTAGTAACTGGTACGTCAGTGATGGTAAACAACCACCAGGGTTTTGACACTCGCTCCCTTTGCAATTTGCAGTTCTTATCGATGAAGCTGGCGACAGTAAACCCGAGGCTTGACCTCAACATAGAAGGGCTTCTCTCAAAGGATGTAAGAGCATCTCATCGCTCATACTACTAATTTCCTTCCACCAGTAGCCTTTCAAGGAGTGTCGAACTAACCATGCATGCCCAATAATACTCCCTTGTCAACAACAGCTTCTTCGCTTCCCTGGGGTGTCTTCGTCGTCGATGGGGTTCTCTCCGGAGATGATGCACCCGCAGCTGCAGCTGTCGCAGCCGGGGCTGATGCAGGGAGGCGCCGCCGCCATGGCAAACTCGGACGTGTTCAGAAGAATCATGCAAGCGCAACTAGGAGCAAAAGATGGATCCCATTCACAGGTTAGCGTCTCTTCAACAACTGGCATATACATACCTTGTTTAGTTACTCCAGCAACGAGGTAGAGGATGACACACCTCATTAAGATAAACAATTTAATTTGCTCCCAAAACCATAGTACCTCAGCAGTCAACAGTTCCCAAAGATCCACTACCTACCAATGTGCTAGATAGACCATAGTGTGACTGAGGCCTACGCCGGCCTGTAGGCTAGCAGCTAGCAGCCTATTAGATCGCCAGTAGGAGTATGAAATGAATAATTTGAACAAGTACGTGCATGCATACATAGGTACCTAACGTGTGCAGCAGCTTCATGCATAAACAACATGTGGATGATGAATTACTAACATGTTGAACCTAAGCTTGGTTGCTTGCTTATAAGGTTTCCGTTTGGTTTTGTTGTTTGGATTGCGCAGATGGCCCACGCATTGAATGGCCCGTTCAGCGATCACGTTGCGCAGATGGCGTACCCGTCCATGGGCTCCTCGCACTCCCACTCGCAGGACCTCAGCATCAGGCCGTCCCAGGACGCCTACCAAATGTGACGGGAGATGCCATTGCCAGCCCCGCGCGTGACCTGAGGCTGAGAGCCACCCGACCCGAGTTTGTTTGTCCAGCTAGCCGGCCTAGCTATCAATCATCTGACCGCCAACGGGACGGGCTGCAGAGGCCACATGCACGAGCAATATGACCACTGAAGCTGCTGCTGCTGCTGCCCGTGCGTGCGTGCGTGCAGTGCACAGCTGGAGCCTTTAACTCCTCCCGTGCGCCGTGCGTGCGTGGCCGTGTGTAAATCGATCCATGGATCATGGATGGATCGGTCGTGTTCTTGTTGTATTCGGGGCTGGAACTGGAAAAAGGGGTCGAGCAGCCCCACGGGGTGAAATGAAATCCTGTGGCGTGGAATGGACGGGAATTGTGCTCTGTCTGCATTTATGTGTGGTGCACGAGGCGGTGGCAGTGGCAGCGGCTGATGAATTGCTGCTGCTGCTGCTGCAGGATATCTCATCTCAGGGACGCAAGCACAAGCACAACCAGCACGTCCCAGAACTATGGGGGTGCATGGCGGTGTTCAAACATCGAACGGGAATCTCCACCTGCACGAGTACGAAAGAATGGCAAGATGATTAAGCGTCTCCGTCGATTGATTCAGTGCTCCTGGCCAGCACGAACGTTTTTACCAGCCCCGGGCTACCTCATCATCTTCTCGTAGCGTGTTCGTGCGGCCCGCGGATGGCTGGCCGTATGGCAAATCGATTTGCTAGCTTCAGGCTCGCTGATGCGTTCGCATGCATGGTCACACGACACGACGAAAGCCGTAGCGCCCAGTGCATGCAGGTGACGCCGAAGCGGACAATGCTAGGCGCACGGGTGCACGCAAACCCACAACACAGTACTTACTTTTTACTACTAAAACACGAGTCGATCTTCGGGGTGGTACGTAACGTTTGTAAGCATCTGCTGTCACCCCCCCCCCCTCTCCCCACCCGGCCTGCTGATGTCACACTGCTGTCACCCTGTTTTATATACATACGCAAAAATATTAATCATGCATTTGAAAAATGTTAAGCATGTATAGCAAAATGTTAACCATGTGTAAGAAAAATGTTTGTGACATTGAAAAAATGACATGTGCTTAAAAAAGTGTATGTACCATTTAAAAAATGTTTATACAATTTACAGAAAATATTCGACCAATTAAAAATGTTTCCTACATTAGAAAATATATGTACCATTTAAAAAATATTTATGCAATCAGAAAATATTCGACCGATTAAAAATGTTTCGTACATTAAAAATATACCTACCATTTAAAAGAATGTTCAACAGTTTCAAAAATGTTTTTCTCATATTTTCAAAAAAATGTATACAACGTCAAAAAAAATTTGTTTGCTTGAAAAAATGTTTCATACCATTAAAAAATGCACATGACATTTTGCAGAAACAATTCGTTGATTCAAAAACAAATTTGTGACATTTAAAAATATGTTTGTTTTTATTAAAAAAATGTACAAATTGTATTAGGAAAAAATGCTACTGTGTATTCAAAAAAGTGTTCAAAACATGTATTTTCAGAAAATGTACATCATGTATTAGAAACATGTCCAAATTGTCAAAAAAAGAGTGTTTCACGTGTGCTCTAAAAATGTTGTATACTG